CACCCGCGGGTCCTCCGAGTCCTCGCTCGGCAGCGTCTGGGCCCTCAGAGCGGCCATGCGAGACGCCACACTTCTCCTCAGCTGCCTCCGGATCTTCCTGGGCCTCAAGGGCAGGCTCAGGACAGACCCGCCGTGGGGCTGGGGTTGGCGCCGGCGCCGCAACCTCCCTCGCCTCAGCAGCCCCGCACTAGCCCGGAGCCCTTCCATGATCCGCACGTCCTCCGGAGCCCAACCTGGGCCTGGTAAGAAAGGGACTCGCGTCCACTGCCGCGGTGGTGCACCCTGGGAAGGGGGCGTGGCCGCCGGCCCGGTCTTGTTTGGCCACGCCCACCGGTTCCGGTTTCTGGCAAATGTTCCCTTGGCTTACTAACAAGAACGACTGCAGTCTTCGTTTTGAATGCCCGCCTTTACACCACTAAAGCCCAAACCACACCTACCACGCCCGAGTCCATTCCGTCTCTTAGAGCTGCTCCTGGGCTTCCAAGGTTGTAAATCTTTTCGGTTGCAGAAAGCCTCCTCGGTCTTTCTCTCGGCTGCTCCTAGTAGATTTGAACTGCCCTCCAATGCGTAACCCACAATGCAACCAGAATTCCTTGTCTCGACAGAGAGACAGCATCCTGGCCACATTAACAAGAATTTATATAAAGACAGTTTAAAAATCAACTGCTCGAGATTCAGGATAAAGCAAGTTGGCTACTTAATTATTCTTATAGTCTCTGAATACTGTGTTGGTGCACCGGTTACGCGCTGGACTACTAAACAGTTTCACCTAGCTGCTACACAGGAGCAAGACCTAATTATCAGCTCTTCTCATAGAGTCGATTCTGACTCAGAGCGACCTTGGAAAGAACCCGTGTTGGGCAGTTCTCTCTTTTAGGGAAGGCGGCTAAGTGTAGAAATCGACTTGAGGGCACAAACCAACAGCTCTAAATACGATTCATTTCCCTCGAGACAGACTCATTTTGTAACTGCCTGCTCCCCAGTAGCCTCTCACAGGAAACTGCACAATTCTTGGAATTCCTCAGGGAAAACTCGAGATTCTATTAAGATCCACTCGGTCACCTGGTTCTCTTTACAGATGAAAATTCTCCACTTAGCTACCTTTCCTCCTTTTTCCTGTTAGGAATTCTCACAGCTATCATTTCTCTGGAAAAAAAAATTTTTTTCAAACATTTCGACTTGAATTCTTGATACCTGTCCTGCCCATCCACTCTGGGACTTTGTTTCGTTTGCTATAACGCTGAAGAATCTTTCGTTTCTCTCAACTCAGAATCTTAAACTGACCTCTTAAATAATAACAGGCCAAGTGGCAGGAATGAAGGTGGCACCGTGGCGAAAGTGCATGGCTACTATGGCGTTCAGGTGCTGGAGACAGATGCGGCAGTCTGTTTCCATAGAGATTTGCAGCCTTGAAAATGGTCTGAGGTAGTTCTACTCTGTCTTTTAGGGTTGCAATGAGTCACAGTCAAAGACGGGGTTTAGTTTGGGATTGGTGGTGACCGGGTGTAATTATTCAAAACAACATGTTCACTATCTTTCTCAAACGATTGTAGCTGTGAGTACAAAAATAACATCTTCATTTGAATCATTTCAGATAACACTTCTAAATTCTCAGGAGTAAAATTTCCAGATCAAAGACCAAGATATTTTTCCTGTAGATCAAAGACATAAATCTGACCTGAACACTTAAAACTGTGTCAGGAGCTCCCCCTAGGATGCAGGCTGGACCTGATCTGGTTTCCAAACATTTTTGGTTTGTATCGTTTTGTTGGTTTTTTGTTTGTTCCTATTAGAGTGTATCTCGGAGGTGTTATGTCAATGGCAGTCACCCTCTTGAAGCTGTTATAAGCGTTTTCATTTTTCGGTACATGAAACCCAGGATTGATGAATCTATAGGGACACCAAGTACAATAAAGGGGTTGGGGTTGGCGGAGGGGGAGGGAGGTCCAGTGAGGGGGGAGATGTAAAAGTGAGATGATATCAAGGAGTCCATGTAGAAATAGATTGTTTGGAAACTGGTAGCAATTGCACAATTCTACTTGATGTGATTAAACTATGGAATGATATGATATCTGTATTAAATCCCAACTACTGAAAAAAGGGTAAGAAAATTCTCTCTAGTTATAAGTATATAAGCATTACTGGTTTTGCTTCTCTGGAGAACCCAGCCTAACACAATGTTTTTTTTCCCCATGTCTTTACTCATGCTGTTACCTTTAACTGCTATCTCCCAATCATCTTTTGTCAAAATTCCAAGCCCATTTCACACCCTCTCTCTTCCCCAAAGGCTCTGCAGATCTCCCAAGTCACAAAAGAGCTTTGACCCTTTCAGACAAGTTTAGCACATTCTGCCTTGCATCCATGAGTTATGTGCTTGTCACATTCCTTCCATTAAACTGAAAACTCCTTCAAGGAAAGAAGTTCCGTATGCCTTTTTGTGTAGAAACTGTTTGTGGGAAGCCGACCAATCAAAATTGAGTCCCTGTCACTCATCAGCTGTACCATTAACTCGGGCTTAGTTATTTGATCTCTAAAATGGGGATTAAAAAGTAAGCCTACTTATTCATAGGGTTGTGGTCAGGATAAAAGAATGCGTGGGAAAATAAATAAATGAATGAATGAATAAATAATGCATGGGAAGCATTTAGCCAAAGGCCTGGAACTGAGTAGACAGAAATTGGTGACTATAGTAATAATTTATTATTATAGTGATGGAGCTTGATTGGTAGCTTGTGTGGGGTTGACATAGTTAGGAGGAATAGGGGAAGGATAGGGCACAGGTGTCCTTGGATTGGGTAGGTGACAGCAGCTTTAAGATCATTTTTGCATATGCCACATGGAAGCCTAAGTTAAATCAGAGGGGCCCCTACCAGACAAGGCCAAGGTTGTGCAGGTTATATTCTACACAGAAGTACCTGGTCAAGGACCAATGTCAGGGTTGAAACCAGCCAGAATTCTCCCAAGCCCTGGGCCCTGGTGTAAGGGCACAGTGCCTAGAAGCAGGGGCAGAAGAAAGGGGAGTCTGCTTCCTAATGGACAAAGGCTGTGAGTGTTGACAAAGCCTTGATATGAGATCTCCTGGGGAAACGTGAAAGAAGAGATTTGTCCCTGAGAACTTTAATTGCCCTTTCAAAGTGAGTGGGGTTTACAATAGACAGTAGACACATCCTGCCGTGACTGCTATGAACTGGGGATGACCGGTGCCTGTCGAGCTGGGGACACTGTGTGCCAGGGTTGTAGGATAGCTGTAGGTTTGTTTTTCCACATCCGGTACAAATATCTCCTCCTCCCAATCTTTCCTGTGACCTCATCCTTTTCTTTTTTGCGACATTTTGTGATTTCCTCAAAAAGGCCTGCTGCTGTCTCTGCCCTCTAGGTCCCCTTGTGACTGGGAGGGCCCTTTTGGAGCCTGACTTATCTTTAACTTCATCACTTTTCCGGTGGCTCTATTTATTTCTCCCTGTAATGCAGCTATTCATAACCATTTTTAGATACATAATCGAATGACATGGAATAACATATCGGCTGGCCGAAAGAGCAGATGAAAATATATTACAGTACTCCATTTGAGGATCTGTCTGAGTACGGTGGTGTGTGGATGTGTATGAAGTGTATGGGTATTGTGCACTGACAGGTCTACTGGAAAAGAGTTTAGGAGTCTGAAACTACAATATTTAACAGAGGTTATTTCTGAGTCGTGGGAGTTCATGTGATTATAATTTTCTTTTTGCTTATTTATATGTTCTGGCTTTTAGATGAGGAATATATATCACTTGTATAATTAAATAATAGTGTGTGTGTGTGTGTTTCCCTTTTTAAAAATAAGCATTTCCTAACGTCTCATTTTTCCTAGATCTTTAATCATTGTTTGACTTGACTTTATAAATTCCCTTTTTAAAAAAACCAAAAGAACTTGACCCTTAGGTTATAGAAGTTAACAATTGCTCTTCATAGAAGTTGCTATAGAAAAGAGGTTGAAAAGAACCAACCCCATCATTGCATCTGTAGAGGATAATTTGAAGCCTATCTGGAAAGTACCCCAAATTATCTTCTCTGACAAAGCTCATCATTTCTTCCACATAATCATTGCCTTTTCCACTCATTTTTTCATTTAAAATCTAAATACATTTGGTAGAGGTGACATACTGTGTTAGTCTGGGTAGACTAGAGAAACAAATCCATAGACACTCATATGGGTATAAAAAGAGCTTTATATACAAGAACAGTTGAATATTGAGAAAACATCCCAGCCCAGTCCAGATCAAGTCCATAAATCCTATGTTAGCCCATACATCTGATACCAATCTATAAAGTCCTCTTCAGACTCACAAAACACATGCAATGACGCCGAATGCAGGAAGATCACAGACCTGTGGGTGGAAAGTCTTGTGGATCCAGTGGTGGTGTAAACATCTCAGCACTGGCATGGGTCTCCACGTGGCTCCTTCAGCTGCAGGGCTCTAGCATAGCTCCATGTGTTTTGTCATCAGGAATACCAAGCAGA